GAGAAAGAAAGAAAAAAATAGGAAGAGAGAGATAAAACTCTCTGCTATTATTTTTAGTTGTTCCATTATTTATCATGTGTTAATATTTTACAGTGATTAATATTTTAGAGTGATTTTTCTGCAGCAGCATGGGTGACTCGGGAGTAAGGCTAGAAAGTAATGGCCCCTCCCTGAGAAGATAAAAGCAGGCTGAGAAACTGTAGTTTTTTGCAGAAAGAAAGAAGTTTGCTACGTTAGAATATCTGAGTTAGTGTTTGGAGACTCTTTCATTTATTGTTTAGGAATTTTATCTGTTGTTCTTGGCAGCCTTGCTAAAACTTGGCAAGGCTCTTTCTTGTTGGAGCTAATTAGTGAGAAGCAGCCTTTTATCTGTGAAGAAACAGGATTCGTTAATGAAATGCTGTTACCTTTGTCTTCTGTTTACTCTCTTGGAACCAGGTTCGGGTTAGATCACCAGCTCCGTTCTCCTGTGCAGGGCAACAAAAGAAGATCCAGCCAATCAGCTGGGATTTGAGAGGCAGAGCATAGATGGGGGCTTGGCAGTCAGAGGTGGTATTCTGAACTACTAAAAATTTCTGCTACCGGTTCTCCAGAACTGCTCAGAACTTGCTGAATACCACCTCTGGTCCCATCCATGAGATGCCTGCAGCATGTGAAACCACATCCCCTCTAGCCCACAGAAAAACCTCTCTCCTTGGAACTGGCCCCCGGAACCCAAAAGGTTGGGGGCTGCTGGTCTAAGGACTCCATTAAAATATGAAGATATGTTCTCTACTATTAATTAAGTAAAAACATATCTTCACATTTCAATGGAACCTTCACAGCACTTTTGTAGTTTGGTGTGTATGTGTGTTGTTTTTCTAGAGTTCTACTTTTTTCGCTGTGTGATGATTTCTTTTACCTTAAGTGCTGCATTTATGCCTGAACCTATAAAAAGTTCTAAGGTTAAAAGGGAGAGTGGGCATTGTCGGGGAGAATTTCTCATATAAAGATAAATGCACTGCCTAGAATGATGTTTTAATTTCAAACAATACCAATTTTGACAACCGAAGTGCCATTTAAGCCAGAGGCCTCCAAACTTGGCAACATAGCTGGCTGAGGAATTCTGGGAGTTGAAGTCCACAAGTCTTAAAGTTGCCAAGTTTGGGGACCCCTGATTTAAGCAATGAAAGATATATCTAGGTTTGTATGTTAGGGGGAAAAGTCAAAGGTTAAATATAAAGTTCTCTAAGATACAAAGTACTGAGTAGCAGACATTACTACTGACATCGCTGGTATTATGGCTACTATTTATTGATCCCATTCTTCAAAAATACCCTTCAGTATTTTTATTGTCATAACATTTTGCACCCTTTTGAAGGCCTGTATATCTTTCCTCTACCTACCTAAAATATTTAGCCCCTTCTTGTGTTGTTATTTTTAGTTATGAAATTCTTTATCTATGTTATGCCTTGTAAAAACTAAAACTGGATCTATTCTCATGAGAAGCTGTTTATACTTTATAATTAATTTCAAAATCTTATTTAGTTTGTTTCTTTATTCCAATTTCATTTGGACCAGTGAACCATTTATAACTGTCTTGGATCAAAATCTTATTTAGTTTGTTTCTTTCAGATTCTTTAAAAACTTAAGCTTGTAGTTAAAATTTTCTGTTGTTCAGGATTAAAGGCAGATTCATCTTGGTTTCTTGGTGTCTGTTGTGGTTGTGGTTTTGCTTTGGCAGAGCCATCTTCAATTTTCAATAGTTAGCCACTACACTGAACTGATTCTTTCCTTTGTAAGGTAACAGTAACAGAATTCTAAGTCTGAAAGCATGTCTCCCTTCTTTTATTTATACTTTCCAGAAAACTAGGCAGTGCTCTTTCTGATATGCTCCCTGTGCTGCTATTCCTATTGTACAGGTTGCAGCTCTTCTTTCTGTTTCCCAAAATCTTTCCCACAGCCATTTACAGGTAGACCTCTTTGTTCAATTGGAGTTTGCATTTGTGCTGAAGAATATCTGAATTGGATGCATATATGCATGATGTATTTTTGGTATTGGATGTTCATTTGTGAAAAGAGGAATAGTATAGCATGAATCCTTTGCTTGTGTGTGTATGGTGTGTGTGTGTGTGTGTGCGTGCACGTGCATAATGCTTTATAGGCAGAGATAGGCATAAATCCCATTTGGCTTGAAAAGGATTTGAGGCAAGTTAATTTTATTTTAATGTATTGTATTAAATGGATGTTTGTAACTGATAACCACAATCATCCCAACACACTAAGAGCAACCATTTTCTGAGTATTTCCAAAATTCTCTCAAATTTCATTTTCTATGGAGATTCTCAGTCATCCAGGCCATGGTTCTCTCAAAGGTAGTTTTTCAAGAGGCAACTGGACTTTCTTCTTTTTCTTTGAAGACGTTTAGCTTCTCATCCAAGAAGCTTCTTGGGCGAGAAGTGAAACATCTTCAAAGAAAAACCAGAAAGTCCAGTTATCTCTTGAAAAAGCATCTTGGGGATACTGAAATTCCATTGCTTCAAAAAGACTGGAATTCGGAATAGATACCTGATAAACTGTGCTAGGATTGGCAAATCTGTCCAGTTCATAGTCTGTTTCTGCATCCATCTGTAATCAAAGCAATCAATCTTAAAACCAACAGCTTACTGTTTAATATAAACAGAGGTGAGCTCTTACTTCGGTATATAATTTTCAGAATATATTCATTTTTATACAAAAGACTTTCCTTATGTTATGCCTTCTCCAAAAACATGCATAGTTTTTCTTAGTTTGGCAGATGTGGACATTTTACTATGTTTTTGTTCGTTTTTAAATCAAAACTTCAAAATTTGGGCAAATACAAAAAGGGAAGAAAAATTATGGTCTAGTAGTTCTTACATTAGACAGGGAAGTGCAAATTAGGCTGGTTCATATAAAAATACCAGCCAAACAAATGTTTGTCAAATAATCTCCCTGTATTCTTCATGTTTTCCCTTCCCATCTTTTAATAATATTTATTATTTATTAATGTTTTTTTTTTGCTTTATTAATTTAATGTGCACTTGTTTTTATGTTTGTAAGCAGCCTAGAGTCATCTCTGAGGAGACGGGTGGCACATAAATTTAATAAACAAACAAACAACAATATTTCCCAGCTTTCCCCAAATGGGAAAGAGATTACGACCACAGTTCAGACCAGTTGCTAAACAAGACAATTGTTAAGTGAATTTTTCCCCATATGACAACCTTTCTTGCCCTAGTTGTCAAGAGAATCACTGCACTTGTTAAATTAGTAACAGGGTTGTTAAATGAACCTGGCTTCTCCATTGACTTGACTTGTCAGAAGGTCGCAAAAGGGGATCACGTGATCCCGGGACATTGCAACCGTCATAAATATGAGTCAGTTGCCAAGCATCTGAAGTTTGATCATGTGACCATAGGGGTGCTGCAATGGTTTTTTGCAATAAATTTTTTATTTTTATATTTTAAAAAACTTCTCTTTAGGTGAAGAAGATAGATAGAAGATATAATTATTTATTGGCCAAGTGTGATTGGACACCCAAGGAATTTGTCTTGGTGCAAATGTTCTCAGTGTACATAAAAGAAAAGATACATTCATCAAGAGTCAAGAATCATAACGTACAACACTTAATGATAATCATAGGATACAATAAGCAATCAAATCATACTAGGAAACAGTCAATATAAATCGTAAGGATACAAGTGACAAGTTACAGTCATACAGTCACAAGTGGGAGGGGATGGGTGATAAGGAGTGATGAGAGTAATAGTAATAGTTGTGCTGACTTTGTAATAGTTGAACAGTGTTGAGGGAATTATTTGTTTAGCAGAGTGATGGTTTTTGGAAAAAAAGCTGTCCATGACCATAATTACATATTCAGCTTCCATATCCAATATCATATTATTACTTATTCCATTTTTCTTTAACTATTCTCATTGTTATATTCATTACACTCATTTTATCCAATTTCAATTCATATTATAGCTTATTTCATTTTTCTTTAAATATTCTCATGCCTTATTTTACAATATTATCTAAATTCTTGTTCCATTTCTATACTCATTACACATATTTACTTACATCTGTCACATTTGCAAATTTATCACCTACTATTATTCCATTCATTGTTCAATAATATTCATCCTAATTCTTGTTATCCAAAATGCTGCAGTTGTTATAAGTGTGAAAAACAGTCATAAATCACTTTTTTCAGTGCTGTTGTAAGTTTGAACAGACACTAAATAGAAAACTACCTGTCATCCAGTGGTGGGATTCAAAAAATTTTACTACTGGTTCTGTGGGCATGGCTTGGTGGGCTTGGCAGGGGAAGGATACTGTAAAATCTCAGTCAGAGGTGGTATTTTCTGGTTCTCTGAACTACTCAAAATTTCTGTTAATAGTTCTCCAGAACTGGTCAGAACCTGCTCAATACCACCTCTGCTGTAATCACTGCAAAAGACAACATGGTTATGTAAGACTGGTTGGAGTCTTACGTAAAGATGGGAGGCATATATCACCTTCTGATATGTTAGCACCTTACAGAATCTGTAGCACTTAAGAGTGCAAAAACAATCCAAGATTACAGAAATGGCTTGGCAGTTTACAGGCTTTTGATATAAAGCATTCACACATTAATACGTCATACTTCACTTAATCCTCCAGGGAAAGATTGAATGCAAATGAGGTCCAGGCAGAAGAAGAACATCATGGCTTCAAAATCTAAGGGACTGCTTTGTACAAAACTCAGCAGCACTTTTTTGTGCGGCTGTTGATAAAAATAGCATCGCCAACAGGATTGCCAAAGTCTGATGATGGAGAAGGCACAAGAAGATGAAGAAGAATCCAAACATTAATAAATAGGAGAAAGCAAGCAATGCATTATATTTTTAAAAAAATAATACAGCAATTGCAGCAAAAAAATAACCCTAACTGTTTGGTGTCTGAATCCCTCCCCCTTCCCCCACAATAGATGGGTTCATCAAAAATTGGCAAAATCTGGAAATAATGAAAAGGGGTATCAAAACCTGTTAAGGTCAGTGAGCAGAACAGTGTGGATTGCATAGAATTATGGAATTATTAATGTAAAAATGTGTGTGTGTGTGTGTGTGTGTGTGTGTGTGTATTTGTTTTCTTAGGTTCTCACGGGTATTTGTATGTGGATCTTTGGTTGTTCGGGTTTTCTCCCGCGTAAGATTCGAAGTATCTAGGCAATGTTTCGATGAAGTCTCATTCATCATCTTCAGGCTTCTGTCTTCGGCTCTGGGCTTCTCAGAGTGATGTGAGATTGCAGCTGCTTCTTCCTTTTAACTGCTGGTGGGGGTGGGACTTGATTGGGTGGGGGCTTGGCTGTGTTCTGATTGGGTGGGGGGGTGTTCTCATTGGTAGGGGGTTTGGCTTTGTTCTGATTGGTTGGGGGGTTGGTCGAGTTCTGATTGGCTGGAGGCGTGTTCTGTTCAGGTGGGGGCTTGGTTGTGCTCAGGTTAGTCTTAGTTGCTGGGGGATTTGAGTTGGTGAGCTGTGATCTTGCTGTTTGGCTTCGAGTTCGTGGTCGTGCTGCATCTTCATAGTGGGTGTCGGTTTGCTTCATGTATGGCTCAGAGGGATTTGAAGTGGGTAGTGATGCAGCTGCAGTGCGGCTTCTGGTCCGTGGTCGTGTCTCATCTTCTGAGTGGGTGTGAGTCTGTTTTCTATACCTTCATAATCTGGCCACACGGGAAAGAAAAACTGAACAACTTCCTCACACACCTCAACAGCCTACACCCCAAAATACAATTCACCATGGAAACAGAAGCCAACAATCAACTTCCCTTCCTAGATGTCTTGGTATACAAAAGATCCAATGGCTCCCTAGGACACACCATCTACCAGAAGAAAACACATACTAACCGCTATCTACATGCACTCTCACACCACCACCCAGCACAGATCAATTCCGTAGCCAAGACACTCATCTCCAGAACAAAATGCTTAGCCAATGAACAACACCAAAAAACCGAACTACACACTCTCACCAACGTACTTGCAGCCAATGGATTCCAAAGAAAGAAGATTACCCACCTAATCCAAAAAGAAACCCCAACCAAAATCCAAGACAGAGAACAAGAAAACGGCAAAGCCCTCCTCCCATATATAAAAGGCACTACAGACAAAATTAGCAAGATCCTCCAAAAACACAACATCAAAACAGCATTCTGCACAAACAGAAAAATATCCACCATCCTAAGAAACCCCAAAGACAAAATCGAATTAGAAAACCAAGGAGTATATGAAATCCCCTGCACTGCCTGCCCTATCACATACATTGGACAAACTAACAGAAGAATAAGTGCACGCATTGAAGAACATAAGAACTCAATCAAAAAAGAAGAATCGACCTCTTCCCTGGTCCAACACCTCAAAGCCACAGGACATGAAATTGATTTTAAAAATACCAGAACTATCGCCAAAACCGAACACTTCAACAGCAGAATAATCAGAGAAGCCATAGAGATAGAAAAACGCCCACACAGCATGAACAAACGAGATGACACCTCCCGCCTTCCAGCCATTTGGAAACCTGCCCTCTTGAACAGACGAGTACCTAATATGAAGAAGGACACCAGACCCACACCCATGAGAGCCACACAAGATGCCACCACCACACTTCCATGTAGAAAACAGACTCCCACCCACTCAGAAGATGAGACACGACCATGGACCAGAAGCTGCACGGCAGCTGCATCACTACCCACTTCAAACCCCTCCGAGCCATACATGAAGCAAACCGACACCCACTATGAAGATGCAGAAGGACCACGAACTCGAAGCCAAACAGCAAGATCACAACTCACCAGCTCAAATCCCCCAGCAACTAAGACTAACCTGAGCACAACCAAGCCCCCACCTGAACAGAACATGCCTCCAACCAATCAGAACACAGCTAACCCCCCAACCAATCAGAACACAGCCAACCCCCTACCAATGAGAACACACCCCCACCCAATCAGAACACAGCCAAGCCCCCACCCAATCAAGTCCCACCCCCACTGGCAGTTAAAAGGAGGAAGCAGCTGCAATCTCACATTACTCTGAGAAGCACAGAGCCGGAGACAGAAGCCTGAAGATGATGAATGAGACTTCATCGAAACGTTGCCTAGATACTTCGAATCTTACGTGGGAGAAAACCCGAACAACCAAAGATCCACATACAAATACCCGCGAGAACCTCAGAAAATATATATATATATATATATATGAATAAAAGCATAAGAGTAATTTCTCTCACTTGGCTCATTTAAATGCCTTGGCTAATTTAAATTAATCAAGGAGAGAACCAACCTAGAACTAAGCAGAACTTTCCTAAAGTTAGAACAATTAATCTGTGGAAATGGCTTGCCTCCAGTAGTTGTGGATGCTCCCAACACTGGAAATTTTAAAAAAGAGATTGGACAACCACTTGTCTGAAATAATATAGGGTCTCCATATAGATGATTGATTTCTACATTTTCTTAAAAGGACTTGATAGATGAAAAATTTGATTTATATGGTTCTAAAGGGGATTTATTTGCTTCATATCTCATAGAGATCAGAAACTAATTTCAGAGTCTTCATCTAAACACATTTGCAAAGTGATCCAAACACAGTTAGATCCACGCTTCAGTTAAATCCCACAGCTGTTACTTCTACTGTAAACATTGGAAATTCCAAAGCCAACACTATGGTTTTATATTTTTGGAGACCAGGCTACACAAAAGAGGATAATGAAATCAACAGTTCTATTTATATTTTAAATGGAACTTCTTCCAAAGCATTGCATGAAGCAATCTATCACAATGGATCATCCAAAGGGACTCGTTCAACTTCCTGATCACAGAGAATTAGATCACAGCATATTTTAAGTCTTCTAACTGCTTCAATGGTGTAATAATTTGGAAGCCTCTTCTTAAGCAAATATAAATGCTGTGATGATTTAGGGTGAATCTTTCTGCTTTCATTCTTTTTAGTTTGGAGAGTTAACATATCCCTTGATTCAATTCATTCTCCGTCTGTTTGTCACCCATCTCTCTTTTACACACACACATATCATATATCTATCCGTAACCACATAATTTCAAGTGTTTCCCTGAAACATGATCATCAAAAAGTACCATCATTATTTTTTAGAACAGCTTTAGTTTAAGAAGAACTACCCAGTGCAATCCTGGATTTTAAAAAAAACCTGTATATATAGATAAAGCTACTAATTCTGGGCTGCAAATAGATATCAGCTAGGAAACATACTTTCAGCTCATATAATATAATTTAATATATATATGGCACAAATCTTGTAGCCTTAATGCAGAGGAATCCACAGTGGGCCTCTTTCTTCCATCTCTATAGCAAATAATCAGGTATTGCATGAAGACATTATAATGTGTACCTGTCATATCACTGTCTAGCTTGCAATTTCCATACTCTTGGAATGTGTGCCCCTCGCTGAATAGGAAGCACCCTTAATAGGGGCTTCATCATTACAGGTTAAAAATAATTATGCCATGGATCCTGCTAGATTCTAATTTGAAAGTTTTGCTACCAGCAAACGACTGGTAGGATAATTGCTATCTGAAACAAACTTTGGCTAGCATTTGTATTTTTCTGGGAGGGGAAAGTCAGTAGATAGTCAAGAACTACATTTTTTTTAAAAAAAGAAAATGTTTCTTCCACCTTCTTTGAACTTTTAAATAGCAAACAACGCTTACAGCAAAGCCAAGTTCATTCAACTTCCAGTTCCATATGCCTCCGTATTAAACTTCTGTCTATGAATATCTGTCAAATTCTAAAACTATTTAGCATACATTTGTTTAGGAAAGTATAAAAGAGGAATACATGTTGAAGGCACATCAGTTATCCTAAATGGATGTCTCAGATCCTTCCTGCTTCCATGTAGATTTGATGGATCTTATAAAGCAATTCATTTACAAGCCTCTAAGTAGAAACATATTAATTTTGTGATTACACAGTCAGCTTAACAGGGTGTAACATTCATAAAACCTTTTGATATTATATTATAGTCAGTTGTAATGGATTTAGCTTTCGGTAGGACTATTAGTACCATAATTTCATATATTTTTTTCAAATGCTATTGGAAGATTTACAGTACCTTCCTAAGTCAGTCCTGGGCATCCTGGCTTGGTTTTCTTTGGGAAAGGGGCATATGGTTATTGAAGAATGTGTGTCAGATCTTATAAAAATCCTTTATTTGTGCAGAAACCTATACCTGTTTTTAAAAAGTGGGGGGAGATGTTCCCCAATAGCTGCTTATAATTAAAAGGAGGAGAAAAGAGCCCAGGGAATCCTAGTCTTATTACTGAGGCAGAATAAGGATTGGCAACAAAAACAATGCAATTTACATAAGCATACTTTTTCTGCTAGAGGAAGTATTCCAATTCAGCTTTCTTGGTTGTGCCTAAAACTGCAATTGCCAAAAATCCATATCATCACTAGAGGGCAGCATGCAGATACAGAAAATTCCATCCTTTTTCCACCATCTAGTGGTCATAAGGTATTTTGCAACCAAGATCTAGGAGCTATTGACTAAACATTCCAGCTGAACCTTGCATGTATCTTAAACTGGAACAAGCCATCTGATTACATCCATGCAAGCAAGAGTGGCAATTGAACATCTGCTAGAATTTGACCCCACCATTAATTTTAATTGGGTTCTCTCTCTTTCAGCACCTGAATTAATTGTGAGTATTTGGTCTAAACACTGTTCTTAACATCTTGGATGGCTCTGGCATATCCCTTTATGAGGCACCAGATGGTCAGGTCCTGAATTAGCAATGATCAGCTTCCACCCACAGGGGAAATGATGAGCACTGTGCACTTGGGCTTTTAAAAGAAATAAGGCTGTAGAGAAAACTGGTACAATTATGTCTAGGTGCTCATTAAGAAAAACAACAATCAAAAGAAGGTGTAAGGGAGGAAAAAAGTTTTATGAATTTTTTTTGATGTTTCCCCAGATATTGTGCCTCCATCTGCCTGGAGTTAGAAATCTAGTTACATCAGCACTACATGAGGCATTTAAAAATTATTTCTTGTTTCTTTTATTTTATAAACTACACTAATATCATAACATTCCCCAAAAGATTAGGCCTGTGTTTCTTTATAACCCTGAAGCATTTAAGCAAGTGAAATGTGAGGCAGAAATGACATCACAGAGTATTTATTCCACTGGCTACAGGAAAGTTGGCTTTTTGTAGCTTTTTTCTTCTCTTTTTGTATTCCTGCCTGCATTAATTCTACTCATTTAAGGACAGTTTTGCATAGTTCAAATTCTGGGGGAGCAATAAACAATCACAAGTTGTCAATCTATTGCCATCTTTGCTATTTTCATATATTGTGCGAAGAAGTACAGCAAGCCATTCTATAGTTAGCAAATGTGTAATTTTCATGGCTATGTCAAGTCATCCTCTAAAAGCAGGAAGCTTCAAACCTAAGGGATCTTAGAGAAGGACACTTATTTTGATTGATGTAAATTAGACACAGAGCAATTATATAGAATAGTCAGTATTTGTCACTTACCCAGTCTCTGACTGCTTAAAGATTTAAAGAAGGCTGAATAGAATTGTTGTATAGCACCATCTAATTCTACCTTCATCATAAGATTGGAAGGAATATTTATTATTGTAACATTTTTTAATCCCAACATTTTTAAAAATCTAGTACTATAGGCTGTTATGTAGGTTCTCTTCATATTCTTCTTGAAAAAATAAAAAATAAGGATAGCAAAAGTAAAATGTTTACAGTAGAGCAGGTTTTTTTAAAAAAAGAATATAACATAAAATGTCAACAGATCATAGAGC